TTTGGTAAACTTGGTGCATGTCAACTTCAGAATCATATTAGGGCCTACATGGCACGCATTCGTTTATATTGACATCAAACGGCTTGGCCCAATGTTCTTCTGTTTTCTACTTGCAGACAGTTTATGTGCATTTGTTTCATAATGGTAAGCTTCACGGGCCCCTAGCAGTATCAGCCTCCATTCCCAGTGAATGTGGTAAAAGAATCAAACTCCATTATTAATCCAGTGCAGAATCTCCATAGATTAGCCCTGATCTGGAGATGACAATTCCAGCAGAAAAGAAAAAAAAAACTTTTGCACAAACAGGAGCCACAGAAATCACCTAGAGTTTGACTGTCAACAAGGTCAATTGCCCGGCTTAATTGTATAATAACTGCGCACACTTGCTGCTGTCAAAATCAGTAAGGGCCCCCACACTCTGCACAGGCAAGGGCTTGTGCTGCTGAAAATTTGCTGTGGCTGTCAGAAGGGCACTCAGTTAGGAGACTGTACGTGTATGTGGGTTTGCATTCATAAAGTGTCTGGGGTTCGGTGTCAGTATGCATTGGGCAGGGAGTTAGTCAAAGTTAGGAGACCTGAACTTGGGGAGATGGTCCCTTCATGGAAAGTGATGGGGGGGTCTGGTGTGGCTGGGATTAAGAAATCAGACTGTCTGGGGTCAGGCTTTTTTGGGGGGGGGCATATTTCAGGAGAAAAAAGACAAGAGCTAAGGTAAAATGCCCATTGAGCAGACTTTTATCAAAAAGTGGTTATGGACTGGTTTGTGCAAAATAATGATGAGTTTATAATGCTAGGCTTTTTTATGAACAAATTTTAGTTACAGTTATTCTACAGGAGAAAGGCATGGACTGGGCTTGCAGGTTTTTTGTAATAACCAGAAAATGACACACTGCTAAGGTTGTGTGCCACAGTTGTTTTCACCTGTGGTTTTAGGTTGCACCTACTCATTACTTTCTTAACAGTGGACTTCATAAGACGATACATTCTTACCCACCACTGGTTATCTTAATTAAGTCTTAAAAAGAAATGCCGATATTATGATGTGGAGTTTTTGGTTCAGTCACTTTAACTTGGTAAGAAAATGTCAAAGCATGTAGCTGATATTTACATTCATCAGTCAAGAATAATACATGGCTATCTCACTCTAGAAACCATTACAAAGAAATTCTTGATTGGCAAAAATCCTTCATAGAATCCTCACAGGTTTAAATAGGATTTCAGTGGTTTTTTGCCTTGCCTTCTCAAGTTTTCCGTGCTGTCATTGGATGCTGCAAGGGCTCTTATGTTTTCTCAGAATTCCAGATAGTATTAAGAGAAATCAGTGTTTGTATGTTCAAGCTTGGGGGGGGGATGTTCAAGCCTATCCCTCAACAGGAACCCAGCTCTTTTTAGACAATCCAGTGAGCTTCCACTGGGATAATGTCTTTTGTTTTTATTATTGCACCTTTTTCAGAGAAATCACCAAATGTAAAACATGCATCTGTAAGAGAGTCCACTCATATGCCTGTTTTTTCAAAGCAAAGAGGACAAAACAAGAACACTTCATATTGAACAAAAATTCAATTGGATGGGTAGTTATCAGTTTTTGGCTCTAAATTGTTCTAATAAATATTAGGCATTTTTTGGCTCTAAATTGTTCTACAAATATTAGTGTGGCATGTTTATGAATGTGAGTTGTTTCCATCTCCTCTCATTTGCACAGATAACAAGTGAGTATTTGTCTGATTTTATAATGTACATGTTAAAGCTTACATATCAACACTCTGTAAATTTACTGGTTGAGTGGCTGGTGGATGTCAGGATTTAAAATGTAAACAGCTGTGAATATAAATGCACAGTCACAAAGCAGTTTTTCTTGCGAAACAGCATTCAGAAATGTTAACATAAAAGTTAGGCTGAGGGATTGGCATCACAGAATCCTTTTTGTATATTTTAGTTAATTTTCTCTATGCTGGGTCATTATAACTGGGAGCAGAGATAGGCCTTTTAGTTTGGTGAAGTAGGAAATCTTCCTCTCCCTTTTCTCCAACACAAAGCATTCAGAAATGGCCATTTTGTAGGGGACAATAAACCAGTCCCGCAAGAAAAGGCAAGAAAGAAAGGATAAATACTTTTACCTTGAGAAAAAATTTCTTCTACCCCATTCTGTCCATTTGGGTCAGAGCTTTGAGGAGAGGGGTGGCTTGGAGGAGAGATAGTATAGCTAGCCTCATAGTTACCAGACCTGGCCTACAAGTTACAACAGTAAAGACTTTGAATCCGAGGTGTACATGCATGTGGAGGTGCAGCACTCCGCTTGACTGGCAATAAATGAGGAATAAATTCTGCACTGAAGACAGTCTCACAGTTTCAAAACACATTGTTCTTTATTGTAAGGCTATATACTTCTTCAGTTTATTTGACGTTCATTTCTTTGGGATAAACAATTTCATATTTTGTTATTAACTGCACATTATTAACATATCAACTAGACATTTACTGCTTCAGATTATGATGTAGTTTCAAGGAACAAGAGGAAACATTTTATAAGGTTGCAGTGCATTGCTGCAATTTTCAATTGCAAAAGGTGATTTTCATCAAACCCCATGTTGTTTGAAGTTGTAACTTTTATTTTGCCAAACTTTCCTGTTTACACCATGTGCTTACAGGGATATGAGTTCTTTCCCACAGGTTTGTTGAAAGTAATCAGATGAATTTTAGCGATGGGCAAATTGTAAAGGGTGAAATCTGGATAAGTGATTTTTGGCATGGATTAGTATGTGAATACCAGCAGTGTGTCATGTTTCCTGCCACAGCTCTGCCCACTCCAAATTGTGCAGTGACAAAAATAATCCAGCTGTTACACTGACCAGGCTCTGCGCAGTACAGTTGGTGCACTGCCTGCACAGCAGCAGCAAACCCTTCGTGTATCCAAGATATTGCCAAGATTTTTCTCTGAAAGGACAACTGTGCCGGTTTATACACTGTACAGTGGAACAGATGAAAATTCTCAAGTTTTTGACAGGGTCAGTGAGGTCAACACTGGGGCCATTGCTCAAAGTCAATGGCCCCAGAGACAGCACTGGGCCCCCTGTACAACTTTGGCTTGTTTTATTGTCCTGGTAGGGATCACTGGTAGTGACCTCAACTCAGGTCATATGCTAAGTTATTAAAGGGATGGTGTACTTTGATAAGGGTTGTACTTAATTTTTGTAAAAAAAAAAAAAAAAAAGAGGTAGGCACCTTGGTTTTTGTCTGATATGGAAGATTTCAAGGAAGGCACACCTTGAAAATACAGTAGGGCTCAGCAGAATGGACATACACTATTCAAGAAACTAACATAGTGGAATTTGTATCCTTGTGGAGACATGACTTTGTTCTCATGGTTATGTGCCTTTGCACACATGTAAACATGCATTTTCTGCACAATTTCACTCCCGGGAAGTAAACAAAACCTTGCTGTTTTTTTCCCCAAATCAAATAGCCTGACTTCAGGGCTCCACAGTTTCCTTAACACACCCAGCCTGACCTTTGGAAACTGTGTTTCTAGGTTTACTGGTATCAACTAGCCATGCCTTGTGGTGTTTCAAGAGTTGAATAAATTCAGTTCATAAAGGATTTGAGAGTTTTGCATGATAATATGTCTTTAACTACATGTACTTCAGACTTTGTGGGTGGCTATTACCAGTTTCAATCAAGTCTCATAGAACTTTCACATTTTGATTTCTTTTAATAGGAAAAAGAGAATATTGTGAAATTGAGCCTAAATTTTGCAGCTGGTGCCTTGAAGCTACAAACATTGAGAAGGCTTTGGATTTGGTGTAGAAATGTCACACATTTCAACACATTTCCTATAGTTGACCAACAGTGTAGTTCAAAAGCTGCTAATTTGTAGCAGCTGTATACGTTCTTCCAGAAAATGGAGAGGGTTCAGAATCTCTTTTTGAAATTTCACTTTTACAGTTCAGTTTTCAAATAATCCAGGAAGTCAAGTGATTATCATCTGAAGTTGTTAGTTCTTGTTCTGATGTGGTAGTGCTGAATTGTGGAGATGTGCCTGAAATGGTACATGTACTTGTCACGTCTAAAGATCATACTACATTGTCAAAAGAGGGCAGTATAAATACTGAATTTAGTTGTCCTGAAAATGAACACGTTTCTTAGAAAATTAAAGCAGTGGTTTGGAGAAACTTGTGACAGATTTTACCAGAGGAAAATTTAAGTTTATAAAAGATAAGAGAAGATTGTTCGAGATTTTACAGAGTAATTCTGCCTGTTTGTATGAAATCAACTCACACAGGTATTAAAAAACATTTTAGCATCGTGTACATGCCTATAGACAGCTAGTAACGCACCAGAAATGCACTCTGCACTTCTTGTAGCGGCCAAGCACCATGTGCATTACATGTTTGATACATTTGGCAAATATAGACATATTTGAATTTCATTTTCTGCAGCAAACATTGGGGAAACCTGACACTCTCCAAATGCAAAGATTGCTGAATATACAGATTGTGTTTGCCTCCTCTCCTCCAGTGTCTACATTGTGTGTGTTTTCCCCGCACTCTAAGATCTGTTTGCCCACGGAGTGTGGTCTTTCCTTCTATGTCTGTTTTGAGGGAGGATAAAAATCCCTGTAGTTTTTGACCAGTGAAAACCCTGGGCTAACGTCTTGACGAATCATTCATGAACAAATAGCGTACCTTGATCTTTGTTGGAGACTCCAGAAGAGGCACTGTTTCTTTCAAACTTGCATTCCTGTAGTTCTGTTTTTTGAGTGTGGGGAACAAAATGGTAATTCTTCCTTTCTATGCTTCATTTCCACGCGTATTAAGTTCTTGTTCTTTTTCCCTTGAATTTCGATGCATTGAGTAGTCTGGAAATGTTTGTATTCTGTGTCAAAGAATTTTAAGTTACTTATTAGAAGAAGATGGAGGTTTGGCTCCTAGAAGTTACATGTTCATGATGTGATATTGATATTCAAGTTATCTTGTTTTCATCTTTTCCCTGTCTTGCGACAGTTCTAAGTATTCGAGGGGCACAAGAGGAGGAACCGCCGGACCCTCAGCTGATGAGGCTAGACAACATGCTTATAGCTGAGGGCGTGGCTGGGCCAGAGAAGGGCGGGGGCTCGGCGGCGGCTGCAGCCGCGGCGGCTGCCTCAGGAGGCGGCCCAGGACAACCAGACAATGCCATCGAGCACTCAGACTACCGAGCAAAGCTGGCACAGATCAGACAGATCTACCACACAGAGCTTGAGAAATACGAGCAGGTGGGCTAATTGAAGAGATATGTTGGCAGGCCCAAGATGCAATTCTTAATTAATTTTTGCCTGCTGAAATAATTACTTATTTATTCCTCTCGAATGTGACAGCATGCAGGCTCCCAGCCTCCTAGAAAAATTGCATGATGGTCAGACATTATTGGTCAAGTGTTTTTAATTGAAACTGCATGCAAATATTTTTGTCCCATTTTTGTAAGTGACATTTTGAATCGGATATTAACATTTTTTCATGGTCAGCGTAGTTCTTAGGCTGTACTCCAGTTACCGGTGAATGTCGGGTTGGGCACTTGCTAGGTTAACTTTGAATTTCACAACTGAATCAGTTTCACAAGGTTGGTTGGTGCAACTGATGTAATTGTTGACGTCTCTCCTGCAGACAGTATTATCAAGGGCAGACACATGTACTGTGCAAACCCAACTATTGGTTGGGCACAGGTTTGTACACCAGTGTTACATCGTTAGGTATCCTTTCATGTGCCGAGTTAGTCACTAGTGATTTGATAATGCTCTGTGTGACAGCATGGCCAAGGTCAATTAGATGGCACTCCATACCTTGATCATGGAGGGCTGTGCCGAGCACTTGCACCTTGTGCAACAGTTGTAACTGAAAAATCACACATGTCCCAATGAAAGCCACCAGATAATGGCTGCAGCTCCTTCCGATAGATGCAACTGTTACTCCTGGTTACAGTCGGTTGATATAGACATAGCCTTATCATTGTTTTGCAGTCAGCTCATTTTTTCTTCATATGGGAAATCTGTGGATTCTTACAGTATGTTGTGTTTATTTAGAGTCTGAGACATGGGCATTACCCCCCCACCTCCACCCCCCCCAAAAAAAGAGAAGAAAAAACTTTGAAATCGACTGCCTTTCATTGTTACTGGTGAGTTCTTATCCCCTTCCCTATTCCCTCCCCAAGAAATTTCTCCCGCCCTGTGCTTTGCCCTCCTCTGGGAAAAAATACTGGCAACCCCCAATGTCGTCTACATTGCATTGTGACTAACGTCCAGGTTATAAAAGTCCTACAGCGCGAAAGGTTTTCAAGGGTTTTTCTCACATTTTTACCTGGCGAAGGCAGCTCAAATGTCGTTCACAAATGCCTCGTATCCTGATTTCCATAAATGCTGTGTTGAAATTACTAAATACCCCTGCGGACAATGTATTTTAAAAGAAATTTTGCAAAATTCCACATTTTCCGTCGCGAATTATGAATGACCTACGTTCGTCTAGTTGTACATATTTGCACATGAGTGAAATGGCTTCCACACTTGGCCCACATTCTGTCAGTTGTGTTGTCTAGAGCTACATGTAGGTCTAGGTCTTCACTCCATTGGAAATGCTTGGAGACACGCTGACAAGAGACCTAGCCATAGCTTTGGAATTCTGTTTCATCAGTTATGTTGTCTAGAGCTAGGTCTACGTCTTCACTCCATTTGAAATGCTTGGAGACATGCTGACAAGAGACCTAGCCGTAGCTTTGGAAGCCCGTTTCAGACAAGGCCTTATCTGCAACTTCTTCACGCCCACAGCTCTTTTGTGCATGCGTAAGGGGCGGTCGGTTACTATACATTTCCTGCATGTGCAAGACAACGTAGATCGCGATGGACAGCGTGGAGTTTCATAAAATTTCCTGCAAAATACGTTGTCCATGGACGTTTTTAGTAATTGCAACACAGCATCTATAGAAGTTGGGATACAAGGCACTTATGAAGGGCATTTGAGCTGTCTTCGCCAGGTAAAAATGTGAGAAAAACCGTTAAAAAAATTTCGCATTGTAGGAGGACTTTTATACCCTGGACGTTAGTTGCAGTGTAAATGAAGACAACGTCCAACCTGGGTTAGGCAACCCCTGTGGTCTGTGAATGTGAGACCAATCCAAGTGACCTGGGGTCAATATTGCAAAGGGTGCACAAATATGCAGTGCGTTATGCTTGCATGGAAAGATATTGGAACAACATGCAATCCACTTTGACCACCGTTTGTGTCGAAGTTTGCAAGCTCACTGCAACCCATGCAACATCACAGTAGGCTGTTTTCTGCATTGCCGTTCATGTAGTATGTGGTCAGGCAACCACACTTGGGTTTTGTAGCCAAACAATAGAAGGATTTTGAGAATGGTTCCTGGTCTAATCATGCTCTGATATCTTCCCTTTTAAATAAGGGAAAGAGAAACTAATCAAGACTTTGGAGCTGGTTATACAATGGCATTTTACTATGATTTTGTTGATAAAAAGGATCAAACTGTGACTACGCTTGAACCAGGTGACAAAGTACCGTCAACAATGCGATGTTGAAAGTAATATTTTCAAAACCTAAGAAGCGGAGCCATCGTAGCGTGAAGTAGGCCTTAAAAAGAGAAATTTGACTGGAGATTCATGCAGTGAGAAAAATTGCTATCACATCAGACCCAAATCATAGTTTGTTTCTTCTTCTGTCGCTCTCCTCCAGCAGGCCTGCAACGAGTTCACAACGCACGTCATGAACCTCCTGCGGGAGCAGAGTAGGACGCGGCCCATCGCGCCCAAGGAAATTGAGCGCATGGTCAGCATCATTCACAGAAAGTTCAATGCCATCCAGGTTCAGCTAAAGCAGAGCACATGTGAGGCAGTCATGATACTCAGATCCAGGTTTCTCGATGCAAGGTAAGGTTGCCATCTTTTCTCTTCTCCTGATAAAACTTTTTTGTGTGTGCTCATTCAATTGCAAACTGTTAAATTTTTCTTTTATGGTGGTTCATGTACAGAAGCAAATGTCCAGACCTGGCAAGTCACACGCCACTGTGTATCACACCTATGCCATAAAACGTAATGTTTTTATGAAAATAAGCTTTCTGTTTTGGGCTTCAAATTGGGTTACATATATGCATTTTGGCGACTTAGTGCTGGTTTTGGATGAAATAGAAACATGCGCGTGTATGATGTCACAAATATGGTTCTTTTGTTGGTCACAAAATACAGCGCCGAAAATATGACATATACCCCAGGCTAGTAAAACAGTCCATGCAGCTTAATTAGCAGTGTGCATTCGTTAATCTGTGGGATTGATTGTGTGTACTGTACTGGAAGAATGCATTCAAAATGGAAGCATAATCTTGCACTAGCAGCTTTCTTCACACTCCTAGTCATCCAGTGTCTGAATTTGGCATCTCAGAATGCCAGGTTGTTATCATAAATATTGTAAGTGAAGTTTGAGAAAGTTTACATACATGCTCAATTGCGGCAAATTTCAGTTGTACCTGCATTTATTAACCATGATCTTACAGTCACATATGCTTCCATGGTATCCTTAATTTGGCTCTTGTGATGAGGTGATACAGTGCTGTGTAGCATTCACTGAGTTCCACATGCTTGACTGGTTCAAAGTGCACCCTTACAGTGTGGGTTTTTGTTTTTTAATTCAAAACTTGTCTTTGATTCTAGCCAGTTGTGTGTTGCTTTGACTGCCTGGTGTATGATATGGACAAAAGCCCTGATGTGTTGATGATAATATTATGTACCATGAGTAGATGTTGCCGGAGTGATTGTGATGCAAACAACAGAGGGCGCCACTCTGTCTACTCTACTGCAAAGCCATGATGAGTTGATGACCAGAACTGACAATAAACAGTAAAGCTGCAAAATTGTAACAAATGTGTCAACTTGTTTCTTTTTGTTTTTTGCAGGAGGAAAAGGAGAAATTTTAGCAAGCAAGCAACAGAGATCTTAAACGAATATTTCTACTCCCATTTGAGCAACCCTTACCCTAGTGAAGAAGCAAAAGAGGAGTTGGCACGGAAGTGTGCGATAACGGTGGCACAGGTGAGAACAGGGAGATATGTACGCTGCACCCAAAGATGGGCTCATCTCTTTTGTCTCATATCCAATACAAAATGGTTCACAAACTTTGACAAGGTTTGAGTGAAACGTAGCCATGGTACTTGCTCTGTACAGAGGAGACTCATATTCACACCACACTCACGCCCACGTTCTTAAACTTGAGACTGTGTGCATTTTGGCAAGTCAATATTCCCTGTTGTTCTGTGTGCATGTATGACCCATGCACAAGTGTGGTAAAACTGCAAAGGTGGCTTGTAATCCTCGTCCCTGGATAAGTCCGGGAAAGTTTCCCCCAGTACATGTATATCGACATTCCTACTCCCCAGATATTTCATTAATAATGAATTTCATGAGTTACTTAAAGCTGATTTGAATGGAACATTTCATCTGTGACCTCATGAAATTATAATTCTTACCACTGCATGAATGTAAAACATTTATTTTATACAATACCTGCATAAATCTCCATCATCAATTAATCTTCTTTAAGGAGAACAAATGGGCCTTGCATATTAACATCCACCATTTTGCAAAACAGATTCATGTCTAAAGCATGGCCACCGCATTTGTAGTACTATGCAATATTAGACTGGTTCCTGTCCTTACATTGTTTTCTTTCTTTTTTTTCTAAATTGGGAATGAAATCTATGAAATAGGAGCAGGTACCAGTCAAGTAAAATGAAGTTGTGTTCAATGGGTACCATTTTGTGCAGGTTTCAAATTGGTTCGGCAACAAGAGAATTCGCTACAAGAAGAACATCGGCAAAGCACAGGAGGAGGCAAATCTCTATGCAGCCAAGAATGCAGCAGCAGCTGTCTCTGTAGCAACGTCGCAGCATGACGGCAACCAGAGCCAACCACCCTCAGCACCCAGCACACCCACAGGCAACGGTAGCAATCCTGGTAAGAATGATTTGGTGTTTTCAAACTGGGTTCAGGATTCTGTTCTGGGGTGGGTGAGAGAGAGCAGTAGCAGTTCTTGAGATGATGGAGATGGGTCCAAGGTTTCACGGCATGGACAGAAATAGCAATGCATGCAGGGTTGAAAGGCAGCCTCATCAGAGTACCAGAGGAACTCAAAGTGCGTGGAGTCTTTTGGGTGAATGAGAACTACACAATGATAAGAGCATGCGTAACATCATGACCAATCATAACAATTGATAGCACACTGCAGTGCCATAATAGCGAATGTAACAGGGTCAACACAAAATGTTTGGTTTAGCAGTTTGTCAGGTACATTGTTTTTCAGTTGCTGATGTTCTGGCTCGGGCCCATTCAAATATGTGGTGGCCTACCTCATGATGTGCGAGTTTTGGCCTTGAACACTTTCAAACTTAATACCCCTTCCCCCCCCCCCCAGAAAGTTAAAAATAAATAACAGTGAAATTGTTGCATTTTGTTTAAAGTATTTTCTCTGCCCCATTTCACCCTTTGGACAGCTATCTCTTGAAGTCCAGTGATGAAGTGAAATAAAGTTTTCCTTGAGTCATCACTTTAAAATTACATGTGACACACAGTACAGTTAAACTAGTTCCCACCGCTATAATAGATGACCTGGAAACCATTCAGTTGCACTGAGCCACAATGGAACATTTCCAAAGTTTGCAGCATGAGAAATGTCAGGTGATACTAGCAAAAGTATTTAATGAAGATTTGGGCGTCATAAAATCCACAGAGGCTAATCTGTTTATCTGCAAATATATTTTCTCTTTTGATAAATATTTTGAGGTAAAAATCCTTGCCATTTCGGCAATGATGCAGTGCCGATTATTGCACATAAAGAGTTAGCCATGGTACATGGTCTACATGGCCTGGTGCACATGTGCATTGCACATGAGCCTAGGAATGATATTGACCGTGCTGCTTGGTGACTGTTATTCCAAAGCAAGTAAGATTTTCCTAAACTCCAGTTTAGGAAAAACTGTTCAGCAAATCTAACCTAGGCAGAGCTGGGGAAGGGGTTGCTTGTTCAAAACCCCTGAATAACTGTCCCAGCTTGGCTCCTGCATGGTATTCTTTGTCTAGGCTGGAGACCTGTTGGGTGGGAGGGGACATTGGAAGTAATCCCAAGATGGTTGCTGTTCTTTCTCTAGGATACTGCTTGGGAAAAGTAGGAGTAGTAATCACTGTTCAGTCAGAGACTGTTCTTCAGGTTTATGCTGCTGTGCTCGGATGAAGAATGGGGAAGATTGAAGTCATATTTTTTGCCCTGAATGCTTACAACCACCAATTTAACAGTTTTTGTTACACTCACACTCAGCTATTGACTTCTCACCTGTCAGCTATTCCGAACCTAGATGTAATTCCCCTACACAGGCCATGACAAACACATGTTTACAGCTCAAGAAAGAGCTGCAATCGCGTTTGTAAGGAAAGAGAGCCTTTCATCTCCATTACTCAAATTGTGATCAGGAAGAGCTTCAAGAATCCAAGGTACTGTACTTTGCAAAATCTGGAATGAAGTTTTAAATTTATGTTGTGATTTTTATCTCCCCCCTTAAAAATCCCACCTCCCCCCCCCCACAAATGCAGGTTCAGGGGGCTACATGTCATCCCAGAGCCAAATGGTCAGCCAAGAGGGTTCCTTCATGAACCTGCAGAATGGAGACAGCTACAACATGGCCAACCAAGTGGGGGCCAACGTCCAGTCACAGGTACACTACTGACACACTCGTACGCTGTAAGCTCCTTCAGGGGTCATTTTCTTTCTGTCAGTTTTTTCCTGGCTTTTTTGTAATGATTGAGCATGTTTTTTTTTTGTTTTTTTTTGGTGTGTGTGTGTGTCATTGTCACTTTCGTGTAGTTTTAGCAGTGCATTTGCCAGTGATGTGGAGCTTAAGTGTGGCCATGCTTGATCTTTGCTCATGTTCAGCTTGTGTATCTGTCTAAGCGAAACAAAAGAGGGCGTGTTATGGTGCGCTAGTAGATACGCACTTGACGGGAAGCACACCGAGTACGCGTAACTAATTTATTCCGGCATGTGTGGTCGCTGCATACATGCAGAACGCATGCAAGAACCCGCTTGTCACCACCTGTGTTTCTTTCGCCCGGTTAGGGTGCACTTCAGCTCTAGGCGGATAACCTCTGTGTTAGGCCTGTAGGCTCAGTCGATCCCAGCCGGCTGGATTTCACACAAACGGGAAAAGTGATATCTCCAAAAAGATATTGAAAAGACTATTGGACTTTCCACCGGAAAAATGTTTTCTGTACTGTGCTACTCAGATCTTTATACTCAACAGGTTGTTAAATTAAACAACACCGTAAGGGAAAAATGTTGCTTGGCTGTCCAGTTGAAAGGGGTGCATTGATTCCCCGTGACCCTTCCCCAGCCTGCAGGCCTGTGTCACTGGTATCCATGTACCAAAAAGCTATACACAAGCTTGGATATTTGCTTCGGTTTCGACCTGCACAATTCCTGCCCCCACCCCCAACTCTAGCTCTCCACTTGTAAAAGTTTCACATATACCCTACATTATGCAAAAGCATTGAGCAAGGAACATGGCAAAAGCAAGCACTCCACAGCAACACAAAAGTGGTTTCATGACAGACAGGTGATCACAGTGTCACTGTTTGGCCAGCAGAGATGCTACAGGCTTGTGTACAGTATGTTTGTGACTGGAATTAGCATGCAGGCCCAGGGAACGCTGGCTGATACCTGCAGCCACTTCCTATACACATATAGTCCCAGTCATAGCGCAACAATGCACGCACTCGCCTTAGAAGCATGTAATGATTCTTATAGTTTACACATCATCTGTTCCTGTACGGAGCCCACTCGGTGGCGTCTTTGAATGAATCTCTCTTAGATTGGTAAATCACCTTCCAGTACTAACCCCCCCTTCTCCCGCTTCACACTTTATGCCATCATCCCTCTCCGAGGAACATTTGGTTGCGTGATGTTCAATCCTACCTCATTTGCATGATGTTCCATTTTTCTTGAAGTCATCCTTTTGCCTTCCTGCTGCTTTATAAGAAATCCTGTTTACCATTATCCCATACACTTCAAGGAATAAGTTTTTTTTTTTAAAGTCTATTTTGCAAAGAAAAATTTCATCACATAAGTTTCTGTACAACACCACCTGCTTACTAATATTTTTGTATGCATAGAATAGGCTTCTTCTCAGTCAGACATTGAGACCATCTAATTATTCATACTGTTCAGATAGATTCATTTTGTTGTGATTACCGGAGCAACAATGAAGCTTGTCATGTCATTTGGCATGTACATGAGATAAGTTAGCCTTTTTGAAGTCTCTAACAGCCTATTTGAAGTATGATGGACAGTCCGTGGACACAATAGGATGGCGTTATTTGAAGTGGATTAATTTAAGTAACCACAACAAGTATCCCCATACCAGTTATGCACCCTCCTGTTGTGTCGGGGGACTGTCCTGCCACACTTCAAATAGGCTAACAGAGACACAGCAAGGTTGTTGTGTATTCTATGGTTGTGTGCATGCTTCTGCTGAAAACAAATGGAGGCTATTAAGAGATGTGAATGCGGCATACAGAAAGGAAGCCATCACTGCGGTGGCACCGTGCTTGTCGCCAGGTGGTGCCAAAATGCCCGTGCACTTTAAGGTTTAAGAAAGTGAAAAGCAGTGTAGTAGTCATTAAGTTCATTACAAGTCCCTGAAAGTCCACCAAAGTCATCCAGTCTTAACCCTAAAAAGAGCCGGGGGGGGGATAATTTTAACACCAATTTTGTGAAAATGGAACAACACCATTCTCGTGCAACAGGTCAGCCAAACAGGTATCTTTTTTGTGCTGGTATGCTCAAATGCTTGCGGGCTGGCATGCATGTAGACTTGAATTTCAAATGACCGTAACAACAAAATCATGTCTGATTGAGTTCAAATCTCATCTTTGTAATGATGAGGAGTGTCTTTTTATATGCATGGGAAGGGATGAACCCCCCCCCCCGCTGTGAGATGGACCAAAATAACCTGGCTCTCTCAGGGCTAAGCCAAGTTACAAGCTACTCAAATGAACTGCAATGCAAGCATTCCTTTATCATTCACCATGTTGCTTACGAGTGGACTTGTGACTGGATTTGTGAGGGATTTGCATGCAAATGATTGTGTGCCACTGCATTAGTGACTCTTCAGATAAAGCTGTACAGTCTGTTAACTTCAAATAATCATCTTGAGGAAAATAGTTTTGTGCCAAAGCATTTCATTGAAAACCAATTTCAAATTTGCATTAACTCTTTTGTGTAACATTCTTTGTTGTAACCCAATTTTAGCTCCTCTCCCTAGTGATATAAACACTGTATAAATTTTCTCGATTTTTTTCCCCCAAATTCATTTTCTTTGTGGTCCAGGTAGCTAGCCTGAGGCAGGTCATATCTCAGACAGGGGGCTACGGTGGGGATTCCCTACCCCCGCACAGCCAGCCTCACTCCATGTATGACCCCAGCATGACCCAGTATGCCAGCCAGCATGTGTCCGGTCGAGCCAGCGGGGGCGAGGTAGTGGGCGCATCGTGACGGTCGCCAGGGGGGACACAGCCATGAGTCTGTTGGGGAAAATGTGCCACCGATATTTCATCACTTTGAACTGTTGCGATTTTGTTTTCTTTCTTATTTTAAAGAAATTAATCACTTCACCAAAAAAAAGAAAACAAAAAACCACAATGGACTATCTACATTTCTACCGCTGCATTGCCTGTTGCTAAATGGTGTCGACTACTTACGTGTTCTGTAAAGTGCTACACTTCATTCTGCCAACTTCCATGTTTCCACATTGAATCTTTCCTGATGACTAATCCCCCAGAACTCTCTAGCTCGTGGTTTCATTTGAAATGGGAATGCTGTGCAGTCCTGAAACCATCTGAAGTCTACCAGATCCTGCTCGGAACAGTGTGTTTGAAAATCAACTGAAATCAGGAACTGTAGTGTTAGACAAATCGTTTGCGGAGGACTGGCACCATTTTGTTGAGAAACACTATTGAGCGACAAGCAGAGAGCGACAAGCAGCCAAAGAGCAAGTTTTGAGGACCACGCCCCCCCTCCAAGGGACCTTTCCCAGATTATACGACTTGCTGGTCCAGACGGGATGGAGAGGACATCACTGTCTCTCGTATCTTGCCTGCTTGTGTGCACCTAGTCAGCACTTAACAATAAAAGTCTCACAGCCTCCTCGTACCCTCTGTTGTTCTCAAGTAAGCATGTGATTACGGCATTGTTTTTTGCCAGGACTAAATCTGGAAGAAAGAAACCAGAGGACTGGTGTTTTGTGGTACATGCAAACTGCATTTCTTGAAATCGCCCACACTGGTGCAGTGGTGATTTATTCAGCACAGTTTGAACATTGAAAAGATGGAAAACTTAAAAGGCTTTCAGTTTTACAAGTCATCTGTGACATTTTTCGCCAAATTCCCCCTCCTCTCATTTTAAACATTGACACCATGTCAAGGAACATTAATGCACACCAGGTGTTACCAAGTTGTATTGGTAAATGCCTAGGTTTTTTTCTACATGAAGTTAACCCACTCTTTGCTTTGAAAAAAATTGCCAAGTATGAAGTATATATTTTCTTGTTAAAGATTCAACAACTAACGTAACCGCTCAGTGTGTCAAACTGAACACAAAATGTTTCACCCCAGCCATAGCATGGCTGTGCATGAGTGTGTTTGACATGTAAGTATGCATCATAATAACAAGAAGGTTGTCATTATTTCAGATTTTTGGTGAAGTGATTGTATTCAGTATCGATAATCGATATCTTATTGAAACCTGTGTATTCCACCTGTTTTTCAGCTTATTTTTATTTTTTAAAATGTGCCATTATTTTTTAATTTAAATGTTGATACTCTTGTTAATATTGGAGACAAAAAGTATGGATGTGTCAAAACTATGCTTGCATGTTAAAGATGTGGGCATTTTTTAAGTTGAACTTTTCAGAAATTTTCAACTGGTTTTTGTGATTATATTTTCATTTTGTCATATTTAATACCCTTAGTTTGTGAGCTTTAGGTGATCTTTGGTTTCTGTGTAATACTATACTCTATTTTCCCTCAGATGGGGGGAGTTGAAGCTGAAAATGAAGTTCCTAGTTAAATCTCTTTAATGAAAATAACACGACTGTAAATACAGACTTTTTATGGAAAGGAAAAAAGCATTTCTTGAAATAATTGCCTTCCAGATGAGGATTCTACTCAGAGTGTCAAAGAAAAAAGGGAAATTCTCAAGAGAGGGGGAGGAGCTTCATTCAGAATTAAGTGGGAGGTCAAGATGGCAATCATGGCATTGTAATGAGTTTGTTGACTTCTTGAGCATAGGATCTGCAAACTATTTTTCCTTAATTCCAAACAAAACCTTTCTTTCATGAGGAATTATTCTTAAGATTATGGTTTTTCAAATAAATCTTCAAAACTCCTTCAGAAGTATTCAGTAGTAATATGAAATTTTCACAACACAGATGTTTATAAGAAATAGTCCACAGCTAGAAACAATTACTCCCCTCCCCCTTCATTTCAGACCAGTTGTTGGAAGAGAAGTCTTGGACCCAGACACACTGGTTGAAATATAGATGTGGGAACAGGTTATAGCTGGCAACAGATAGACTGAGCATACCCAGCATTCTAATAAAGGGAACTAATTCACTTTCCCCATAGAGTGACCATTTTCTGTCAGTCACGCACTCAACTATGAATTCAACAAGAAATTCAGATGTTTTTCCAACTATTACAGAAAACTTGCAGGACTAAATGAAATGTACCAGTTGTTATTAAATGCTACGCAACCTATCTGGTATTTTAGTGAAGGTTTAAAGTAGACATGTTGGCTATTCTTCAACAATTTTATGGTAAATATTTGGAGGCAACCTGACGATTATTTTAATCACTGTACATTGGCTTTTGTTTTAATTTGCAACTTGAAAGGAATTGGCTGTGAAAGTAATGCATGCAGGCATGCTGTGTTTGTGTGGTAAGGGTTAACATGGAGAGAGGAAACAGTTGAGAAGATGGTCTATTCACAGATTTCTAGGATTACCCAATTGTTTACTCTACTTTTTTGGACTTCATGCTCATGTCAATGAGTGTAACTTAAGTGATACAGAGTATGACTTTTTCATTTATCCAATGGTGACCTTATTACAGTTCTAGTACCAGTGCCAAGCTTTGAGATGCTAAATACATGTTTGCTGTTCTTCTCATGCAAGGCTGTGAACGTATGGTCCACGGCTTCAAGTTACAGCTTGAAACCAAACACAAAGCTTCGACAATGACTCCAAAACAAATAACGGCTTGTTTTATTTCTTCGTGTTCTTGGATAACCATTTATCAAACAGAAAAAAAATTAACAAAGCATATTTAAAAGCAGTTTTAAGAGTTTTTAAAATGTCCCTGACAAAAAAAAAAGTGTTTACAAAAGAGGAAGGTTTCATTTGCCTAGCTGTGGAGTTTTACATGCATCTTATAAATGAAACATTCTGCACACCTTGAATCACGGTCTAATTGGAGCAAATCTCTGAGCCAGAAAGTAATGGAGCATAAATGTCTCTTCGCATGGAGCGCTTTGTGGATCATGAGTTATGCAAGCAAGTAAAGCCACTTCCTATTGGTTGAAATACTGAAATACTTTTTTTATACTGAAAAGTAGGAATGCTCTGATTGGACAAGAGATGGTAGTCCCTCATGGCACACAGGGGAGGGCTATTTTAGTAGAATGACATCTCATTCGAAATCACTGTACATATAAGGGAAAGAAAATTAATATGTGAAGCGAAAAGCTAAAATCATGTGCGGTTGTAATGCCCTAATTAGTGCAAAAGAGAGAGCTGTTGTTTAAACTAAAAAAAAAGGACGACTTTTGAGTGAATTGTTTCAGCATTATCAAACATGCTGCAATTTATCTGTGTTATGTCTCCATCTTGTTTACCATTGGGATGTTTCAGCCCTCACAGGCCAGCTACAACATTGGTAATTTCCTGACTTCAGGCGGAGAAAGCTCTCCAAGCTCAGATGCCACAATTGGAAAGCTCCCATTGAAGCTAACCAAGCTGGTCGAGGAAGTCTTAAAGTCTCACCTGTCATAAATCAATGCTGTAATTGGCCAGCTGGCTGTAAATCTTTGCCAGTGAATCAGAGCTCACCTGTGCATCTACCCTGTGAACTCATACATGTGCAAAAAGTTCAGATACATGTATTATTTATGATCTCTGCATACTCATTGAAGCATGTACATTTAGACCAAAAAAAAAAGAAATCAAAAATTTGTTGGTCATTTAAGGTGATTTCAAGAAAATGCAGCATAAAAAATATCAGTTTGAGCTTTGGATTATCAACGGACTCTGTCTGTGCATTTTTAATCATGGTTGTCATCTGAGATACCCAGAGCTGAGATTTGATTACTATGGTTTTTTGGGGGGGGTTGGTTTTTTTATCTCTCCCACTGTACAAAATGTTGTGCATTGCCATAGTTTTGAAATAGACACTGTAGATTTTACGGTCTTGCAATTTGTGTGGTTTTTTTGGCTTGCGTTTTCTTATCTACTTTTTTTAAAGTGTAGATCTCTGTTTTCTTTGATTTTAAGATGTTGCCCGGATTTACTGTAAATTTTCTTTGGGGGGGGGACGTAAGAATTTGATATGATGTTCAGTTTGCCTGGATCAACAGCAGTGGTCAGTGGTATCCAAAATGCCAAGATTTCAATTTTTTTGCATGTACATTTTATTTATTTAATTTCGTTTTTTAAATCCTGTTTCTTGACTGATATGACCTCTGTCATTTGTAACATCTATTACAATTCACTGTTGAGCACAAATAACTTCCACGAACAGCCACTCTGTGAAGAAAGCGTTGTAGATTGAACAGCACTTCACGTCTGACCACTCTAACACGGAGGGTAAAATTTGACATCAAAAAATTGTGGAGGCATCAGCTATGAAGCTGCTGTTGGTTAAAGTTAGGTGAGAAGGCACATACAAAGAGTTATCCAGTTCGATTAGGGCAAAGTCAAGAGATAAATGATCAGGAAACTTGCAGATGCGCCACCACAATTTCACCCCTACTGGTACATGCTTGTTTCTCGCCCTCTGACTGGTGTTGCTTTATTTTTGTGATAAAAATTTGAAGCCTTATTCCAAAACAACATAGACCTTAGTCGTGTGGTAAATTTGATGGAATGCAGCATTTATGGAACGTTGAGCATTTCCCCAAGAAAATAATGGGGGGTGCAATGCTAATTTCATTTTTGTTGGATTCGTTCCCTCTGAAGAGAAATGGACCTTACTAGAAAGAGTATTCTATATCTCATCATAAAATTGGAAAGTGTCAAGAAACCAAAGAAACTTTATCAACAGTGATGTCTACCACAAGCACAGCAGCTTTTTCTAGCCTGGTTTATTGATACTTTCAGTTTCTTGTGTTGCAAATTAATCGAGTAAAATTTTGGAAAAAAAGTATTCCAGGCTAAATGTGTTCATTAATTAAAATATGGTGTCTTTTTCTTGACCATGTGTAAAAAGAAAACATTTTTTTTTTTTTAATTCATGGGTGCTATGCACGTGTAATTAATCAGAGTGTATGTAGAAATCTAAAGGTCGTAAATTCAGTTTAATTAAAAATTAAAAAAAAAAACCTCACTCTAATGTGAACACTTTTTGTATACTGTACAGTCATCGTAGAGCAGTCCTTAATGGAGATGCAAAGGGTTCAGAGTGCAAGGGTTAAAGGTAAAGTGTAGGTTATAGTTCATTTAAATTTAAAAATCACATTGTAAATAGTAATAAAAATCATCAGAAGTTCTTTTAACCCTTGCACTCTTTCTGTGTAGTTTTTAGTCAATAGGAAAAATGTTGCTTGTATGGTTGGGTTCTGAAGGGGGAAAAAGAAAAGGTTGAGTCAGGTGCCTGCAATGAAGGAGTGCTGTCAAAAAGACTACACTCAAAGGAATTAAGACCTCCCCCCACAAAAAAGTCAGCTATACTAACCATACAAACAACACTTTTATGTGATATTTAGTTGAACTGTACATTCACGTGTACCAGTTTTATCAGTAATAGCCTAGCGATATCAATCTGCGTAGACAAACGCAGACTTTTAAAAAAAAGTGTAGAAAACAGCACCGAGTGTTGGTGTTGAGAATAATTTGATGGTGTTAAAGCCTGTTCTTGGGGGGGAGGAGGGGCTGGTTTTGGCGGCCCAACTTGCTGTAAATCACTGTAATTATTACCATTGTCTTTGAGGAGACCACCTTACCTACCCCACTACAAAACAAAGATGGTTTGTGATAATAAACACATTGGTGGAAATGAAAGCACTGGCTTTCCTCTGGAGTTTTTTAAAGTTGCATGTGTAATTTATGCTAACCTGAAGTGCGCCCTCACAAGCAAAGAAGAGACAGGCTAGTGGTAAATTCTACAACTGGCCCCATGCACAGGCCCCGTACACATGCAAAGACCGTACATTTAAATGGAAATTGAATGTAGGTGCTCAGTGTGTCCTGTGCCAAAGATGCAAAAACCTGTGCATGTAAACAGTGAGTTCCAAACCAATGGACCACTGTTGCTACGTAAAAGCACACCATCTCTTGTTCCTGCATGGAGGGGATATGCTCGTCTGTTCCTTGTCAGGCGCCCAACTTCATGAAGCAAAATTTGTAATGAAAAAAACAAATGAGATGGGCACCAGCCATGTGCAGTACACATCACATGATATTGTGAATGATAACTGGTTTTCAATGAACAGAGACTTTGCGCTTAATAATTATCCATGAATGATGATATTGTTGCACGAAATTGTGAGTGGTACAGCTCTGAGTGGCTCACAAGCTATCCAGGGCGCCACACTCTGCCAGTACCGCCATATGTATTATTGCACTTTTTGCAATGTATATGTAAAACAATTGAGGAAATTTAAACTGGACAAACTTCTACTCTTTTCACTGTCCATGAACTCTACTCACCCCAGGAAGAATGTGGTTTGCCAGAGGTGTGTTGTGTTTGCCTGCGACACAGTCTTGAGTGAACCAAGCTAGTGTCCAAAGACATAAGCGAAAGCTGTCGCCAAGTTGGAGTAGCTTGGATACCACCTGTACAAGAGAGATTGAGGGAAAAGTGTGATTTGAAAGGATTCCGAAGGCACAAGGATATTTTGGTCTCCTTTGGTAGTGAAACCCATGCTAACCATAAAGAATTTGCAGCATAATAGAATGGAAAATGAGAAAGAGCCAAGGCTTCTGCAGATCTATGGGATTAGACGGGGGGGAAAAATGACTCAGAATCCAGGAAACATTCAGCAGAAGGCTGCAGCAATGACAAGTATGTAACTTTTTACAGTTTTCTAAAAGTACACGTACTTAGTTTTTTTGTAAAATTTGCAAAAAGGAGCAAAGCCTGCTTAAGCTTGTAAAAAGTCCAGAAAGGGGGAAATAACCATCTCAATTAAATCCAAGTTCACACCACTGAGATTTGTGAACGTACCTCTTTCCAATAGCACTTGCCTCAAACTTGGTGTCAATTCCTCAGAAAGGACCTTCTCTCGCTTCTTTCACGCCTGTCCCTGCCACAAGAAGGCCAGTCATATGCAACATCTAGACCACCGGCTGAAGAAAAATCAGCTGAAGAAAAGCAACTTTTTGGAAGGGTTTCAGCCACAAAGAAACTGCTTACATTTCAAAATGGTCAGCAGGAGTAATGTACATAACTGGAAAGTGTCTATTAGTGCACTTGAACTCCCCCCCCCAACTTGGAAAAAAAAACATGGCCCTGCATCTCTCCCACTTTTTCAGCCCTCTTATAAGTAGCGTAACCCATCCTCCTGTGTATTGCCTCTCCTCTCAAAAGACATACACCGTAAGACTGTTCATAACCTAGCTACAAATGTTTGGGGTTCCAAATCATTTTTTTTTTTAGTTTACACTTGTTTCCTCATCTAAAGCTTTCACATCACATCCCTCTAGTGCATACCCGAAAAGATGTGCATGCTTTCGAACAAAATATTGCATCCTCAGTGCTTGCAAACACATGCACACTCAGGGTCTGCCTCCAATCCCTTCCAGCATTCATTCATGAGTTCCAACAGTTTCTTGGGAAGAACTAGTCCAATGTGCAGAAGAGTTCTGTACTCCAACACAAATGAAACAGATGCACAGGTAGGCATGCCACACATGTACTTGAAATTGGGAACAGCCCAACCAATATCAGCAGCTTTGGTGAGAGCCGATTCTGCAAGCTACGACACAGGTCTGCCCATCTCATTTTGTGTGTTCAGTTCCTATGCAGTTCACAGTTCTCTGGTTCCAGTCCAACTCCAATTTCTGAGGCTGCGGTTCAACTTGGTCCAAACCCAGAGCAGATTCAACAATCAAAATTATGCACAGTTACAATAAAATGAACAAATGATGTGCTCTATGGAGTCTTTTCTCCTTCAGCAATGTGTGGACCTAGAAGAGAAGAATTCTGCAGAACTAAGTGAAAAGGGGCTATAATGAGCCCCCCCCCAACAATAAAAGGAGTTCAAAAATGTTTGAGAAGTTGGTGGTAGAGGCACAGTACAAAAAATGAAACAATAACCAAGTGGAATGCTTTCTGTCCAAATTTATTGTGTTTCACATCATAACAATGGTTCCTTTATCCAGTTTTGCTATGTCGAGAAACCTTAACACAGTCCAAATCGTATTTTGAATATCCTAACACCAGTGTTAATCTAACGCAAGGAAACTACAAGCTCTTTACAGTAACAGGGAAGAATATCCATGTAAATGACAAAACACAGCATAAAACGCTAGAACTGTACACACATTCTACATGCATATGTATGGACAGTATAAAACTATGTGTGTGCATGTATAACACTCAGATAACCCAATTAAAATAACAATAAGACTATAAAGTACCAGATATTTCACACCAAGTTTTGGTGAATTCATTATTCCAACGCCGCAAGAAATGCATACTTACAACTTTTTGTTTGAAATTTATTTTAATCAATTGTTTTCATCATAATACATGTAGTTTGATTTTGTTTTTGAATTCAACAAATCGTTTGGTTAAATTTTTCCAGATGAGCGGCTTTAGTGAATCTGACGGATTTCATCCAACAAATCAACAGTTTCAAGTTAAATACAGTACACCTCAGATAAGTCAGATTCGTTTAAATCGGATTTTTGCTTACCTCGGATAAAATTGCTTAGAACATGTGTTTTACCTCTTTTAGTCGGATTTACAAAAAATAATTTTCATACATTTATTCATTCCAGTAACCACTGGGATTTGGGGAACATTCGGTATTTTCCTGTCCAAATCAATCATTTTGGCACCGGTTTCACTGGGTTTTCACAGCGATATCTGCAATACCACATCACATGGGATGCGCATGTACACATTGTACTTTCGAGTAGCAGCCTATAACCTTGGCTTGAGCTCCATGTCATGCTCCACCCCCATTGCCATACTCCATGAATGAACTTGATTTCTGGCTGGAAAAAAGTCTATGTGCCCATGTGATCACAGACTGCATTTTTATTGGACAAAGTGGCTGGGCTAAGTACAGCTACCGAAGTACAGGTACCTTGTGATGGCAACACTCAAGGTATCAACTTGTGTGGCACAATCAGCGACACAAGCCGTGATTTTCTTTGTACAACATACGTAGTGCGGAAATGAAATGATGTTTGACATTAGAACCATCACGATATTACTTTATTTCATATTTTTTGTGGGCTGCCGCCGTTATATGGCTGGTCACAATGACTATATAATACATTTGGTCTTCTTCACGTAAGTCGGATTTGTGCCTAAGTCGGATAAAATCGGTTGGTCTCACTGGATCCAACTTATCTGAGGTAACACTGTAAACATCCTAAACATGTGAGCTGACTTTATATACACACAGGCCCATAAAAATGAACATATTTACAAGTACACGTACATACTGTAAATGCCTCCCATTATCAACATTTTACATGTACATGTTAGACCAGCATATTTATTAACATATATGTAAATTACATGACTCACAATGTTTCAAACTTTCCACTTGCATACATGTAATTCACCTCTAGTAGAAAGGTCAAGCATCTAGTGTCTTGTACACGAAGCAAAGCCATGAGCAATGTCTCAAGCATATTCCAGTATTAAAGGTGTGTACAGGTGCATGACTAAAGTCAGCATATTATGTACAGTGTACATGTGCATGCATGTATGTACATGTATAATACAAACTCGATTTCAATTCCACATGGTTGTGTCTTTTAAGGAATAAAGCAAATGAGGTGACAATCCCAATTTGTTTCATACCAAGTAGCATATTAACAATTCCCCTCCAATTAATATAGTTAAATTCTGAATGGATGTGCATTCTTTGACCCAAACATGTCCACCACGGTCCAAGTTTTCCCTGTTAATAGTGGAGAATTTGCCAAGTTTCATGTAAAACAGGGTAGGATTTCTACAAATCTGACAGCTAGCAGACGCAGACAACAAATAGATGCGTTCAATCCTCTTCTGCTTCAGATAGTACCTCCCACCAATCCACTTCATGCACATCTTGATCTTCCATTTCTTCCTCCTCGTCATCTGATCCCCCTACCTCATCAATGGCAAACATCTCCCCGAACTCTGGCATGTCAAAGCCCGCTTCTTCATCTCCGTCCGCATCCTCCATGATCCATGTGTCTTCCTCCTCCTCGTCATCTCCCGAGACATTGCCTGAGACCTCACCCACGGTATCGATAACAAGAATGTCATCGTCATCGTAGGTCATCTCCATTTCCTGGTCACTGTCTTCACTGTCTTCGTCCAGGACGATGACTTCACCAGCCATCAGTTCGTCAACATCAATGTACTCTCCTCGGTCTTCATCCATGGAAACATCAGCAGACACATCTAATTCTTGAGGGTTTCTTTGCCTTGGACAGGCACTCTGTGACCTAGGTGATTTACATCCTGCATCCTTCACCATCTCTGGGTTCCTTGTGGATGAGGTCAATGTTGCAGTTTCAGGGGCACCTGACAATGAACTCTTCTTTTGGAGTGAAGAAACTGGATAAGCATCTTGGACTTTCAAGGTGACCTGTTTCGAGCTGTCTGGTGCGGCTGGCACAGAAGATGCTGGACTGGCTGATTGAGGTTGTTCTTTTCCTTTTGATGCAGCAGGACTGGATTTAGCATCCTCCCTTTTAGGTTTCCCAACATGCTTCCCTTCTCTAACTATGCCACTCTTGCTAGATGTATCCCGACTAAGGCCAGCTTCTGTGCTCTTAGTGGATGTTACATTACTACCAGTCTTTGGTGGTGGCTTCACCATCTTCTGTGCATCATCAGATGATATTTTGTGACTTGTGTTTTTCTGTCCTGGTAGTGTCCTGTCCTTTACGTCCTGGTCCTTAGTTGAAGTGTCTGTGATAATAGATGTCTGTGAAGAAATGGCCAGCACACTGTCCTTTGCAGAGGTTTTGTTGGAAACCTTTTGCTGAAGACTACCATGGGGTTTTGTTTGAGTCCTGGGAGGCGTTGTCTTATTCTGAACATTAGTCAACTGAGTTGATCTCCTTGGAGCACGAGGGGATGATGTAGCATCCATAGACATTGTTTTGGAGTTTGGATCTTTAGGATCTAAGAGATCTGGTGCTGAAAGGGCAGTAGTAGAGGAATTCTGACCAGCTGCCGCATCAACTGATGGAGCAGGCTTCAAAACTGGACCAGGTGATGCAATACGTCTAGTTTCTGTTTCCTTTGGAGTAGTATCCTTAGGTGCCCCTTTCTTTGGGGAGGTTATCTTGGGTGTGGCCTTCATGGATGGCATTTTCTTAACCTCTTCATGCAGGATAGGTGTGGTACTTTTAAAGGTTGTTTCAACAGATGCAGTCTTCTTGTGTGTACATGCAACTTTCTTGGCTGAATTTTTTACAAGTGCATCATCTGCCAGTCTGGTCTTCTTAGTTGGGACATTATTCCATGACAATTCCTTGGGTGTAGCTTCTTCAGTATTGACTTCCTTCTGTGACACACTCTTATTTGGTGCCAACTTGGATGAGGAGGTTTCTTTGTGTGAGGCATCCTTGGAGGAGAGCTTTTCAGTTAGTGACTTGCTTGGAGCAGCTTTCTTCGGCACAACTGCTTCAGACACAGTCTCTTTGGATGCTATTTTGTTTGGTGTAAAACATGTGGGAGGAGCTTCTTTTGGTGAGATTTCCTCTGCTGGTATCTTCTCTTTATCGGCGACTTCTTTAAGTGTCCTCTTGGTAAGTGGTGGCTCCTTGGAAACAGATTGTGACAAAATGACCAAATCTGCTTGTGTTTCAAGATCAACTGTGCTTTCCTTCAACTCAACCGCGATGTCAGTGCTATCCTGTGACCCAGTCATAGTTGGAGTCCCCACTGGGGAATCTTGGGACACCTCTTCACTTGCAGCTTTCCTAGGCCTAGTTCTTCTGGGTGATGCTCTCTTAGATGGAACTTCCTTGAGAGTGGCAACTTTGAAGCGCATTTCCCTCACTTCAGATTCTTGGGCATTTGGTTCAAGAGAAGTGACCTCTGTGGGCAGGCTAACATTTGGTTCAACCTTCTTTGAAGCTTTTGGTTCCAGAGAAGTAACCTCTGTGGGTAGGCTAACATTTAGTTCGACCTTCTTTGAACAATCTTCAACTGGCAGAGCAAAGGTTAGGATGGATTTCTTTGTTTCTTTTCTGCCCAAATTAGAATCAGTTGCTTTGATCTCTTGGGATGCAGCACCTTCAGCTTTACCATCAGGTTTCTTTGAGTCTTCTTGATGGAGTTTGATTTCAAAGGAGGTGGCCTGTGAGGGTACAGGATCTATGGTGGCAAGCTTTTGACGTCTAACAACTTTGGCAGCAGGAGAACTTTTCTGGGTAACATCTTCCTTCGATGCAGACTCCCCTTTGGGCAGGGTTCCATCTGGTTTCTCTACTTCCTTTTCTGGCTCCATGGAAACAGCTTCCTTTGGTGTAGTTTTACTTTCTCGAATGATTCCCTGAGGCTTATCTCTCTCCCCCTCCACTTGAAAAAGTGCTTCCTTAGTGACTGTTCTCCCCTTGATCATGGTTCCTCCTCCAATGCCTAAATCCCTCTTGGCTTCCTCAGGTTTGGTTTCCTCTTGGGACATAGTTTCAACTGGCTTTTCTGTGTTTATCTTCGTTTTCTTGGAATCAGCTTCTGGAAGAATGGCTGTTTTCCCTAGCATGGTCACACCTGGTTTACCTGCCTCCTGTTCAGCCTTCATGAGAGTGGTTCCTTTTTCAGGATCTGATCCTGCTGGCAATGCAACCTTCCTTTCATCCGTCTTCGGTTCAGCTTTGTCCCTTGGTTTAGTTCCATCTAACTTTTCAGCTCCCCCCTCAGCTACTCCCGACCTGCTAGGTGTCCCCTCAGCTTGCTTAGACTCAGCTTCTCTTTGACATGGTTGTCTCAATTAACATGGCTCCTCCTGGCTTTACCCCCTCCTCCTTGACTTCTGTGGTGACTGATTCCATGTGAGATTCTGCTACTGCCAATGTCTTTGACATAGCTCTACCTGGCACGTACTGTGGGTCTGAGCTGGGCATCACCGGTGTGTCTGGATGGTCAGGCTTAAATGACCCGCCAACTGGAAACACTTGTCCGACTGAGGATGCCTTCTGGTCAAAGTTGGGACGAGAGGTACAGCTTGGATGACCTCCATCAACGTAGTCGCTGACAGAAGTTTTAACTCCTGCATCAGCCTGTGCGGTCTCAAAACGGTTACTCAGTACATTTCCTGCAGGTGCAGGGGCCGTCACTGAAGTGTCACTAGGCACAGTGCCCTGACTAGCCTTAAAGCTGGTATCCATCGACTGGTTTCTGCTGGCATAGTATTGCTGTGAGAATATAAATCGATATTTATGTCAGATTAATAACGTGAAATGATACACATGATGCCACCGCAATCTGCTCATTTGTAAACAGAATTTATTGACAGAACTACAATTTTGTGAGATTTTACAGTTAAGAAAAGCAAAAGGATGCTGCAATTGTCAAGAACGAATGGCTTAATTGCAGCTGAGTGTGCTGGTTGCAATTCAAAAAGGTGGTAAATTATGACAAACAAAATAGAAATTAAAACCCAAAATGCTGTCTATTTTTGGCTTTTGTTTCAGCTGAAATGGAAAGTAGATTTTAAAATACACAATGCTGCAACATAAAGAAAACATGTCAAGAACCATAAAATTACCTTTAAACTTTTGGTAATTACTGAATGTTTATTTGAACTGCATTGTCAAATATCCACAGATGCATTGCATAAGAAATTTTCGAGCAATGTTTTCAAAACATTTTGCAGGTGTCATTCTTCTGTGAGCTTATACAGTAACGGAAGTAGAGGAATTGCGGAGACAACATGTGGAAATCTCTCTTGTGAGTAGGTGTGATTCTGAACCACACATACTCACAAGAGAGATTTCCACATGGTGTCTAAGCAAACCCTCTACCTCACTGTAGATCCACCATGCAAACCTTCAAGCACTATACAAAAACTGCATGTACTTGGTATCACATAAAGGCCCCACCGAGTCTCATAATTCAGGGCCAGAAGTTAGGTTTTTGTTATCTGCGCAAAGGAAATATCAAGTTAAGTTTTCAACAAATACATGTTAACACCTGAAGAAATGCTTCCAATGTAAAACTGTTAAAGTATCTTTTCCTAGACCTGGGAGAGGCAAAAATAATGTAAACCAAAGGGCTACAAAAGGACTAAGCCTGACAGACAACTGCAGTGGTTTAGGTTCTCCATCTTACAAATCTGTTTGAATGACAAGGATCTTGAGATAACGCCTATAAAAAACTGAGAAAACAAACCGAATTTGTTTTTACCAACATTGTTGATCATGCTGGGGACTCGACCAAAGTGATCAGAATGGGTACCCATTGTGCTCGTACTTACCTGAGTTTTTGCGATATGCAGGGTGGTGGCACAGTGCACCTCTCTGGCAGTCTTTTCATTGTTGTAGAACTTGGAACAGAGCTTGCAAAAGAAGCCCGAGATTGGGGTGATGAACTCTGACCCTAAAGACGGAAATGGTGAGGCATAAGTGGCAAGAAAAATCAAGTTTATTAAGGAGCAACAAATGAGCTACTTTCACCAGAAACAGAAACAAAATTGTTGCACATTTCTGTAGTGTTTCTGTAGTACTGGATTTCTGAAAGAAGAGTGTTTGTACAGTCAAACCTCATCAATATGAGATCCTTCAGACTTTGCAGATTACCTTTTTATAACAGGAACCTTGTATTATCAGAAATGAAACAATTAACCCCTCAACGCCAGGATTCTTTTGACCGCAACTGCTGGGCTGCAATATGCCTAGTATGCAAAGTCCTGTCCAGCAGCAAGCCCACATTGAAACCGCAGGTGCATGATGAATAGAATGTATGCGTGGTATGCAATAATCCTCAAACAAAGCCGTGGCTGTCGCCATCTACCGGCATTAAGGGTTAACAACAAAGGATTCGGACCTTAAAATGACATTGCTATAAGCATAAATGTTGTATTAACATTGCTCTTATTAATGAAGCTTGCCTGTAGTTAAAACTATCTTACACACTTACACAAGTTAACTATACGCAATGTATACTCATCCTTGGCTCCCAATAATTTGTGCACAGAACCTACCAAACACTATTCAATTGCTGTTTGTAATTCCTGAATGTCAACATGATACAACAGTCGGTGTTTTTTTAGGTTGGCAAGTGACAAGTGGCTATTATTTTCCCAAGGATTAGAAGCGAAAGCCACTAGTCGTCAACGGTATTGAATAGACAATCCACGTGATCGGGTGCGGAAGAAAACCGCAGGTACGCGCACGGTGGCATTGCACTAACAATAGTCTAAAGAGGGTGCTGCTGATACACAAATCAACCGAGATTCGCCACAGCATGCATCAGAGATCACTCCTGAGCGGGAGTTTCACATGTTTTTCAGATAAACTTGATATCAATTTTTTGACTCAAATTCAAATAAAAAATATAAATAATTGACAGATACATTTCTTGAAACCTTAAACTTGAATGCAACGGCAAAACATCATGAAAACAGCGAACAAAGGTATCACAAGAGGGTGCACTTCAGTTAGACAAGAGGGCGCTATTCAACATGGCAACGAAATGTTCAGCAGTTAAATTTGCTATACCGAACGACCGCTGTACCGAACATTTAGCGTGGACCCCGTCTTGTTTGTTATAGCGGCGTTCCACTGTATCACATACCGATGACACTGGACTTTGGCTGAGGAGATTTCGTCCCTTCTGAATTTGTGCTTCTCACGCTGTCATCTGTCAAAGGTTGATTTGCCTCATTGGGGGCTTGTAAGGACTTGACAGGAGGAGCAGCGGGCTTCTCTTGCGCTGCAATTTTCTGCGAGCAAAGAACAATAAATTATGCCTAAACTGCTGACATACGGTTTATGAAGAAGAAAACAAACAAAAATGGCATTCCAACTTGTGATGTAGCAAGAAATCCAGCTTCGTCAATCAGTAATTTTCAATTGTCATGATTCAAACAACTCCATGAGTGGCATTCCCTGGTAGCATGGTGTACCCAGTACAAGTATATCAGGTGAACAGAGCGTAAACCGTCCAATGCTCATTCAAATAAACTAAAAAAACTGATTCACTTCTACACTCACCTTTTTATGAGCTGGTGTCCTGAGGTGCTTGCGATACTCTGCAACCTTCTGGAAGACGAGGTTGCATGCAACACAACGAGGACGGATTCCTTCAGATTTCTATTAATCACAGAAGAGACGTTGATAGGAATAAATATCTTGTTGAACATACAAAAATTGCTATGTATGTATATATTTCTTGCTTAGCTAATACAGTAGACTTCACTTTGCAACAACAGTGGACAGCATATGCCATTTCAACACTGCTGGACAGACGTTAATTTACGTCTCTAATATTCAAATCACGTCCAGAAATGTTCTGAAATAATTTCACATTTCAACAGTTTAAATGGAATGAAGTTTATTTGCTGGTAAACTCACAAAACAAAATGGCAAAAGTTTTGAGAAAACCTCTTCCGAGGAAATCAATTTTCATGCAGCTTTCTGTTTTTTCCACAGCCAACCCAGCATCCAAAGAGACAGGGTGCATTAGCCCGATGCCCTTGTTTGCACACTGGGCTATCGGAGGACAATACTCCCATTGTCTACCTTGTGTTCTTCTGAGCGCAAGAAGGACCCCTGGCCAGAACCAGCCAGTGGAGACGCGGTCATGTTCTTCCTGCAGAGGAGAAACAGGAAGGTATACGGTGCTTGAGTGAAACACTGCATTTTGATAACGATTGATAACGTGTATATACAAATCCTTACTTCCACTCCTCATCAATCCTACAAATGTTGCCATTCTGAGTGGAATATGCCGATGAGACGAAAGTTAGACTGGAGTGTGGGAAACTTGCCCAGACTCTGCATACAATTATGCAAAACCACTGAAACAGTAGAAACTACTTCGTAAACAACAATGTTAATATTTTACAGGCTGCTGCAATGACTGGTCAACAGTTGAACTGATATTGATCCCATACGTTTACATGTATTTGTCCAAATTTTCAGTTATACCTCGAGCGTTGCTTTATTCAATCTGAGGGCAGTTTACCACTGAGTTGCCGGTCATTTCACAAGTATTTTGTGAGAACAAGGTTGCAACCTGCTGATCGCAAATTTCCTTGAGCTCTCACAACTCTCTCCAGAATTTTTTTTCAACCTTCTCTTTTCTGGTTTCTTTGTTGGTTCTCTTTTGTCTCACTTTGGTGCTAGGCCATCTCTAGCTGCGTATCTAGAGTTTACGTAGTAAACCAATCAATCATAAGCACAATCATAAGTCCATTAAGGGAGCGAACACTAACAACAGAACTCTTCAGTCACAGCCCACAAGAATAGCTTGTCAACTGATGCCAGACTGGATGGCTCGTGACTGACTGGTGCTGAACATGTGATAGACTCAACTACAACAACATGCAAAGTAACAACAGAAAGGACTTCAGCAGTGAATATCTATGTAAATACAACGATTCGCTAACGTCAACAATAACTAACTGACAATATAAAACTCTTCATCTTCCCCGTAAGAGGGATACAAAAGTAAACACTCACTTTGAAGCCAGAGCGAAACTCTGTCCAAGGATGCTGCTCCCCATGGTGGCCTCAGCGATGGGATCTGCTCCCTTCTTTGGCAGCAGTTTCAGCTTGGAGATGAGCTCTCTTTCCAGGGTTGGGCAGTCCGCATGGAGCAATCTCTGGTACTTAGTGGTGTGTTTGCGACCTCCGATGTGGCCCATGTACACCTGAGTAGGTACATGAAGAAGATCAATAGTCTTCTGACTACTCCAATACTTTTCTTCTTGGGATCTAAATATAAATGTGTGCCTTGGACTACTTACCAGGCCGAGAAAGTTATCTCCATATCATGCATACATGTACATGTTCCAAGGGTCTCTTTTTGTGTCCACCATCTACCCATCTAATTTGTCATATTCCCCAGTTCTCCTGATGATTTTGAATCACATGGCAAATGACATGGTTCAAATATACTGCAAGGAGTTTCAACAATCTGTATGGGATCACACCAATCTGTGGTGTGTCTCACAGCACATGGCTGGAACGAAAGGCAATTAAAGCCAATTTGTTTTGTTTTTCAAGGGTGAAATCCTGCTGTGGATTGGCTCAAAGCAAGCTATGATACCATTTCTTGATGGTTTTTGCTTAATGCTTGAAACCAGAAGGGCAATCAATCAAGATCGAAAGTTTCACCAACCTTCCAGGAATGGCAGATGGAACCACAGACATAACAAAACCATTCCACCATCACTTTGTCCTGCACGTATTCCTCTATGGCTAGAGCTTCCAAAAGTCCCATCTGATAAACGTAAAGGAAATTGAGCCAGAGTTAACAGTATTAAAACAGCTTCCACTTGGGCTTCAAATGGAAATATGTCACCAAATCCCCCACAGAATGAGTCTTCAATGCCAGTTAACCATTTTGTTAGTTTCCACTGGACTGAACAATCAGAGCTATTCATTTTTTACCCTCAGTTTAGCATCATGACAGAAATGGTCATCTTGGGGGTGAAAAAATGTTGAGGGTTTAACTGGTTCTGGCGACTTGTGACTCGGTTTGTTAGGCTGGGTCACATATTTAAATAGTGTATGGTAATGCAAAAGGCAATGCAAATCTAATCTACCGTTAGGTATTCACAAAATAAGCCCAAGTGGATTTAATACATCCGTACACGTATTTGCGGATGGCACCATTTTGCCTATACACTGGAGACAAGAAATACATGTACATGGACATGTATTTATAAGTAAAGTCTGAAGGGTTTAAGACTGTACATGCAAGCAATGTTCCATGAGCCCCCACCCGCCCAATTTTCTTTTTTTTTTTGATTCGCCATTTTGGTTACTTTGTCACTGGATCAATATTCATCTAAAATGCAAAATGTGAATTTTGAGCATTTTTTCTCCTACTTCTAATTTACAGTTAAGGTAGTGCAAGACTTTGTACAGTGCTCTCAATTTGTAAAGATATACATAAAGAGTGTAAAAAGGAAAGAATTCTTCGCTTTTGGAAGACTTATTAAAATGAAACATAGAACACACCTGGTGTGGGATACTGCTGTCTTTGATTTCAAGAGTTGAAGGTGGATCCTGTGAGATGACAGAAACTTTCTTTGGCACGTCCTCCGTCAGTGGTACTTTGTCTCCTTTCCTTTTCCTGCTGTTCTGGCCAACAGCTGGCCCACTTGTTGCTGTGGCAGATGCTGACACTGTAGACGGACCATTGCCAGCTGATACACCTGTTGACCGCTTGACGTTGATCTCCTCGACTTCAGATGGCAAAGTGGATTGCTTGGCAGTTGATGTGCCCGTTGAACCGGATGGTGATGTGCCCGAAACTTGACTCGACTCTGACGTGTTAACACTGGCTGGAGGTAGTGATTTATTGATAGAAGGCACAACCCTGCTCGTTGAAGTTTGCGCTGCGGAGGAAGATCCCTTATCACTGCTCTCAGACACCTTGGTAGACTTTGAGGCAGCCGGCGACTCAGACAACTCTGTTGCCTTGCTAATACTTTTTATTTGGACCTTTCCTGCCATCTTCTTCTCCCTACTTTCAGTCATCTCCTTTTCTTTCTCCCCTTCAGTTTTGGAGAGTCCGTCATCCTGCTGTTCCTTTCTTCCTTCTGCAGTGATAAGCGTGTCATTCTTTTCTTTCATCGCTTCAGGTGGTTTAGTGGGTGCGGATTTCTCGTCTGTCTTTTCTGCCGTATTGGTCTGGGAGTCACTTTTCACTGGACTTTTGTTACCTGGGGCTTTTGAAGTGCTGGCACCCTTTCCTGTTGTTGCCGTATCAGTATTCTTCCCTTTGTTTTTTTCTTCAGTCTTCTTCGTGGGTGTGGTCTTCTCCTCTTTTTCTGTTTTCTTTGAAGGCGTGGCCATGTCTTCCCTCTTCTTATTATCCTGATCTTTACCCATCTTGGCTTTGATCTTATCCACCTTGGAATCCTTGGTTTTACTCTTGTCACCGTTCGGCTGGTCTTCACCTCTTGTGCTGGCCGGTGGCGTCTTCAAAGTCGACTGCTGCCACCTCCCGTCAATGAACACCTCACCCATTTTCTCATCCAGTCTCTTGCGTTTCCTCTCTGGACTGAGGCTGGCTCTTCGCTCAGCAGAGTCTGCTGAAGGAACGTGTAAGTTGCCAGAAGGGTACCTTCCTTGTCTCTTCTCGATCTCCTTGGAAGACTCCTTTGAGCTGGCCCCATCTTTCTTGGTCCTCTCCAGGCTACTGTTTCTTGATCTCTGAGGGGACAGTGCAGGCTTGTGATCCTGCTGCTTTCTCTCCGGCTCTTGATGACGACTTTCCGACCTGGACCTCTTTGAATCTGATGGTCGCTTTCTCGGTGGACTTCTTGTTCCTGTCCGTCTGTCCCTGTCATCATCCCTTCTCTTATCCTTCTCTTTGTCCCTGTTAATGTGCCTATCTCTGTCTTTATCACGTCTGTCATCCAGTCTTGATTTGTCGTGTTCGTTTAGCCTGGGCTTATCTTTGTCCTTGTCACGGCTCCCTGCCTGTTTCAAGTAACAAGAACATACAAATACAAGGAATGAATTGACTGAGGTTTCAGTTCAATCAAATGAACAGAGCAGAACATTGTAGAGGGACATTTGCCATTTCTAAGCACTTTTTGTTTGTATGACCAAAAGCAGTTGTGCTTGTACCAAAATTCAGAAAAAATGTAGAGGTTAATTGAAACGCCAAAGCAAAATCCTGTGGGCATTTTAACTCTGGCTTTTGTGTGTATGAAATACAAACTATGAGACTGTTCTCATATGCAAGGGGTCGAAAGTAATGGTGCTCTGCTGGCCCGGGGCCACCAAAAAATTCATCGGGCCCATCTGGACAGTGGTCATTTGAGGAACATTGCCACGTTTTCAAAACTTTCATCACATTTTACGGCTCGTGTTTGAACTCACCCGCACAGCGCTTTGCTGTCCACGGTATAATTTCACAGCCCACACGGCCATGATTGCCCACTACCTGTGTATGTGCTGGGCTCTTGTCCCACGAGGGAAAAGGCTTTTTCCTCAAAGCACAGTTGTGTGTACAGCTCAGAAATGAGCACACGTACATATACCCACCCACGCACACACATGTAAGACATCACTTTGCCTACATATGAACGATGCAGGTGTTGACACATTGCCTGGTATCATTTTCTCACAATATTAGTCTAACATTACCTCCCACAGAAACTAATGAAACCTACATGTATATGAATCGTCGTGCCTAATCGTCCTGCAGCATTCCCGGATGATGCGACAATACCTCTGATTGGTTAGGTCCCCCCCACAAAAGTTCTGCCTTAAAATAGGGTTGGTAGGTCAGAAATTTTTTGTGTTGATTGAATGAGGACGAAAGCTCCAAAAATGGCCACGAAAAGTGACAAATACTTATCTTAATCACTGTAAAAATACCTACAGTTGACAATTCTTAATGATGGACAATTCACACAACTATGCACAAGTCTAGCAAAAGGTAGGCAATCAAGTCAGGAAACTGGAAATAATGGAAGTTTCTTTTGAAATGTAGCGAATGCGAGAAGGGAAACATAAATTATACAAGGGTTTTGACAAGAAATATGTTTTTGAGAGGTGTTTTTGTGAAAACACAAAAGACAACTGGATTTTGTTTACATTTTAAAATTGTGAATTTGTTTTTCTAATGTGGAAATACCAATTTTATGGTCCTGCCAAAATTTAGGCTCGGTCGGGAAACCAGAAAAAGAAGTACACGTATTTTGGGCAGCCTCAAGTACATTTACAACGGGGCTGGCCAATCAACTGTTTGGTAGGGAAGTTCCACTGACACAAATGGGAATGTACGGTGACTCTGATCAATTTCATTTCATGTACTCAACCCGGGTCACCACATTTTCAGTGCAAAGCACTTCCCACTGACCCTGCTGGCCACCCAGAAACTGAAGTTAATTTCAACCCCTGCATATATACACTGTGTGATATTGTTGTACTTGTGCGTGTACTGGCATGTCTAATCAGTAGCTGATAATGGCACAATGACCTTGATTGTGATGACACTTGTTTGTCTGACTACCTTTAATTACTCTGCCCCCCCCCCATCCTAAGAAAACAGCTCTGATCAACCTCTTACCACTTTCTGGTTGATTGTTTTCTTATGTGTGACTGTGGGGCCATCTTTTCCAGCCCCATCATCAGTTATGTTGATCTCCTTGTAGAACTCCTCCATCTGGTCCTGTAGGATTTTGGCTTTCTGCTGCTTCAGCATCTCCACCCGCCGGTTGATGGAAGAGATGGTCTCATCCGTGTCCACCTCTGTCAGGAAGGGGATCTCGGTCGCCACGGCGGTAGAAAACAGACTGGGCGAGATTGTTGGCACTGGGGTAGTGACTTCTGGTGACTGCACTTCGCTGCGGTCCTTAGATGACGTCTTTAAATCAGACCCTGTTGCCCGTTTCGTGCTTTGAAGAAAGGCGTCTACACTGGCGTGCCATGGGCTTTTAGGTGCTCCATCTGTAGCTTTATCTACTCCTTTCAGAAAGTTTTGAGACCGACTTGACTGTGGCGGTGTGGAAGTTTTCTTGCCATGAACTTTGTCAGCCTTCTTGGATTTTGATCGACCCACGGGAGTTTTTTCACCTTTCAGGTTTTTGTAATTTGGTGGTTCTGGAACAGGTTTTGGGTGGTTCCAATCTCCCTCTAATGTGCTTGGCCAAATGGTACTGTTGTTGTCCACTATGTCAGTTGTAGCCTCAAACCCAGAGCCCTTTGCCATTTTTTTCCTCTTTGGGCTATCTATGTATCCATCTGCTTTGAGCGACTGCAGCACTTCCATTGACTGAGTCATCTGAAGCTCAACGGGCAAAGGCTTTCTTGCTTTTTCCAAAAGTTGCAAACCCTGTTTCTGCGGCTGTGTAATACTACCGGTACTTGTTGCTAAAGATGACATTGACAAGGGCAAATTGCTGGCAGGCAAACTACCTACAGCTGGTCCATTCTTCTGCAGCGGGCCACGGAGTTTGAAGTACTTTGAGGTAAGGTTTGCAGCTGGCTGCCTTTGCAAATTGCTTGATTGGTCGCTTGGAATCTCCCGTTGATGTGCTATGGCTGGAATTTGCGGACCTGCATTACTTTCCAAGGCTGACAACATCCCGGGTAATTTGCCCAAAAGTTCCCCTGAACTGATATCGCTTTGTTTGTTGGACGTTAAACTCTGAGTTCTGTTGGACCACTTTTGCGGTTGCGCTTTACTAGACACATTAAGTGCGGCAGTTGACCCTGAAAACTGTTGTGGCACCCGCATTGGGACTTCATGCTGTTGAGGCCGAAGTAGGTACTGTTGTTGCTTCTGCTGCCTGTTATTCAGCTGTGCCTGCAGTTCTTGTTGCAGTTGATACAAATCCTGAGGCTGTTGGCTCTGAGGTGCTGCCTGTGGTGTTTCATTTCCTTGGGACAATTTGGGCTTTATTGTATTGAAAAATGCAGTAGCAATCAAATGTGCCTGGGCTTGTTGTGCCGGAGGTAATGTCTTCTGTGAAGTCATGCTTGGCTGAGTATTCCAATTGGGTAATGCATTCATGCTAGAGCTAACAACGTTATTTGAGCGAAAGGTGGCAGCAATACCACTAGCAACAGTTGCTGGAGCACCCATCATGCGTGCAGCAAAAACCTGCTCCTGTAACAACTGTTCCTCAGATTTGTTCCCCGTCAAGACTGTATTTTGACCTGATAAACTACCCAACAAGCTCGGCAAAGCTCCCATTGCCGAGCCCGCCCCACTGGTCACATCACTCAATCCTTTACCCTGTTGCTGGCTTTGCTCGTTTAGGAGAACAGCAGCCGGTACAGCCGTGCTTGCGCTGGTTTGGGCCCGTCCGGGAATTGGGCCGATAGCACCAACGCGCCGCATTGGAAACTTCTTCCATCCTTGTTCAGCGCGCACGGCAGCTGTTGAGAACAGTTCTGCCGTTGGCTGTGTTGCGTTGTCTTTACTTGCCATATCTGAAATCATGCTGAAATTTATCTTAACAAAGAAGTCTTGATCTACGGTCACAACAGTGTATTTTTTTCACGAAAATGATGTGTAAAGTTTGGGGGCATTTCGTCCCACAAAAGACCTCACGAAAGCTTTCTGCACCACAAATACCTCAGTATTGTAACTATGCTACATAAAACACATACAGTGCGGACGAGCAATTAGAGAGCCAGACTAAACATAGGAGAGACATGTGATTTTCTTGAACGTTGGTGGCGGGCTAGATAATTTATGTCTGTGGGTGTGAAGTCGTGAACTCACAGTGGCACTGAGCCTGGAATTTATTCACAGTTACTTGAAAACCAGGATTCCTCAAAACAAGACCATAAAAAAATTCCAGAAATGCACCCAGAAATGGACTGCCAAGCCATCTAGGATCAACCTTCTGGGGGTAGGCCTGGAACATTTCTTCGGGGCCGCGTCATCCCTCAGGCCCATCCCTCCCTAATCCATGAAGACAAACAACCGTGAGGCGCCACTTCTTTAGTGCTACAAGTCGCTCCTCGTCTTATCCCTCTCAAACGTCAGATTTTCAAAACTCTCGCCTTTATGTTAGTTGCGTTATTTTTATCGGCAAACACTCCCAGCACCGTTAAGCCTTAAGTAACCTACCAAATTGAAAATCAATTGAAAGCTGAATGACCGTAGAACACTTTGGTGTTTTTTTTGGGGGGGGGGTGAGAGGCCCGAGGGATTTCGGATGCCTGTAACGGGGCTACAAACGTGGTCGATTTTACCTTGTCTTCAATGGGGCTTCAATTAGTTCAGTGCAAGCATAGAAAGCAGTGAAAAATCAAAGCGAAATAGCGCCGCCTGTTGCCTCTCGGAGGAGGTTTGTCTTCGGTTTTTTTCACCGGTAAAACTGTTCGCCCAGCTCTGATTGTCTATCCAAATAGGCCCGCAATTTTGGGCTTTTTGTGAAAGAAATAACCCTAACTGGAAACTACCAGTCCCAAATTCGGGATTTACAGAAATGTTTCTGTGATCCCTCCAGGTTATGGCATGGTTTATTGTAAAAAAAATCCCGTGGGAACACAAAAAAATAAGCAGCTCGCACGCAGAAATACAACTCTTGAAACCTGAAAAGTATCACGTAGGCCATTTTTTTCCAGGGGTGGGAGTGAATCTGGAACACCAACAGTTCTGCTAAATAGGAATAGCATGTTATGTTGTGTGGTGGATCTGATGCGTGGTTTACTAGTAGTTCTCCAGATACCTTGCCCTGTCAAGCGAGCCTCTTTACAGCAACTTCCTTGCGTGCTTGAAAAGTGAGAACTGTTCCTGTCATTTCTTTAACATATTTTTAATATGATGACTTGAGTTGTCATATTTTCAGTTGTGTCAAAAGTTAATGTGGATATATAGCCCAAACTACCCCTTCCTCTAACCCAATTACCAACACTCACACTATTTTACCCCTAACGCCAAGAATACCCCTAACCCTACTGTCCCTAACCCTAACCACAAAGGTATATATCCCTAACCCTAACCCTAACCCTTACCCTATCCCTACCCCTACCCCTAACCCTATCTGTAACCCTATCCCTAATGACATCCCTAACCCTAACCCTAACCCTGCCCTTAATCCTATCTGTAACCCTAACCGTAACCCTATCTGTAACCCTTACCCTATCCCTAACCCTACCCCTAACACTATCTGTAACTCTAACCCTAATCCCATCAGTAACCATAACCCTATTCTACCCCTAACCCTATCTGTAACCCTAACCCTACCCCTAACCCTATCTATAACCTTAACCCTAATCCCATCCC